TGATTCAATTTATCACTCGGCCTTAAGATTTGCATTGAACTGCCCATATAGGATCCACCACTGCGATCTCTACATTGGGTCAAACTGAACTTCTCTTAATGATCGACGGCTTGTGCATCAGATATTATTTATTCACGATGTACTAAAAAAAAATCAACAGACTACCTGCTGGATCTCCTCACTGTTTCGAAGAACAAATGTGACCTAAGGTCTTCGCTCATTTACCAGCTTCACATTCCTTATTGCCGTACAAATACTGGAGGAAGGGCCTTTTCTATTGATGCCCACAGGGTCTAGAATGCTATCGCCAATAAACTGCAACTTGGATCATTACCTGTGAGAGCTTCACTCAAAACTGCTCTCGAGGAGTTGTACACCCCTAGCTGCAACTGCTATTCAGAATGGCCTGAAATCAAATGTATCATTCCGGATGACCGCTGAAACGTATAGTCTTGAGTTTTGATTATAGTGTGCTGATCATTAAAGGTGTATTGAAAAAATTAGATTCTGTAACTGATACTCCTGCTGTTATGGAGTGCCTCATGCAGCCAACTATGGCTGCAAAGTTTGGTCGTACATGTTATGTATATCGTTTATTGTTAAATTTGAATCACAGTTCCTATGATCACTGTTACATTGTTTTTATAGCTTTATTTGGTGATTTTGAAAAGGTTTTGGTTTAGCCATGTTTGTTTTTTGTAGTACAGAGTTAACCTGATAACTTTAATCTACATTGTCTTATGGTTGTTATTGTTTGACTTGCATCCCACTGGGATTTTTTGCACACAGCATTGAAATACGGTGTTTTTTTCTGGAAGACTTTGCTGTTTTTTCCAGGATTTTTCTGTTGCGTGTAGTCACTTCAAGATGTTTCTTGTTCATGTTTTTTGTTTTGTTGCGGTTTCACTCGAGTCAAGAGCTGCATGACTCACGGGGTTATACCTAATAAATGAAACTGAAAACTGAAATCTATTTCTCCGAGTCACTTTGTATCTCTGTGTTCATGGGTTTACGATATTGTCCTTAGTTTGGGTTGCATGGCAACAGTCGTACTGTGTCTTGTGTTTTATGCATCTCTTTGTGTCAATCTCTGTAGCTCTCAATGTATCTGTTTCTCTATTGGTCTTAATGCTCAGTCTCTCTGAAGGGTTCCCAATCTGGGGTCTGCGGAAAAGAAAACAAATCTTCAATAGAAAGGTGAATGAAGATGTCCTCTTTGGAAAATCGTTGACAAGTGCCAACACGCGCAAACTGCAGGGGCTTTTAAAAGTTTTTCATCATTTCACAGAAGAGAATAATATTGATTGGTCAAAATGTGTTGGAATTAGCACAGACGGGGCTCGTGCTTTGACAGGTCAGGAGTATAGTCGCGTGCCAACATTAGCAAACTCCATCCACCGTAGCAGCCACAGGGAGGCGCTAGCTACAAATAAATGCCTGCTTGACATCATTGGAGGAATCCGTGTGAAATCGGTACATTTCAGCAAGGCTCGTCCTTTGAATTCAAGAATATTTGCGGAACTTGTGTGACGAGATGGGTAATGATCACGGTCGACCACTTCTGCATACTCAAGTCAGGGCCGGATGAAGGTTCTTGTCGGCCCAATAGGCACTTCAGTTTCGTAGGCCTTCAGTGATAGCTTTCTAAAGTTGGTTACTGCTGCTGCCCGTATTACTACTGCCACCGCTGTCACTCGCTAAAACAACAACGCCGCCTTGCCCTCCTTTGCACTACTCTCTATTGAGAATGCGATTGTGCGAAATACACCATTTGAAGATGTTATTGATAATATTGCAATGAAAAAACTCTCGAAAAGTTCATCTCAGGTGTTAATTTCTCTCTCACCTTATGGGAAAAAAACAATTGACATTGACAGGACTGTGCATATCCTTGCTATATGAATATATTTATTCAAGAAGATATCTTCTTGATTTGAAGCTTTCGTGACTGCAGGAATCCATACTCTTTGAGTAAGAAGATATCTTGGTTAACATTTTTACCATACATACAAACAGTGAGGGAAAAAAGTATTTGATCCCCTGCTGATTTTGTACGTTTGCCTACTGACAAAGAAATGATCAGTCTCTAATTTTAATGGTAGGTTTATTTGAACAGTTAGAGACAGAATAACAACAAAAAAATCCAGAAAAACGCATGTCAAAAATGTTATAAATTGATTTGCATTTTAATGAGGGAAATAAATATTTGACCCCCTCTCAGAAAGATTTCTGGCTCCCAAGTGTCTTTTATACAGGTAACGAGCTGAGATTAGGAGCACACTCTTAAAGAGAGTGCTCCTAATCTCAGCTTGTTGCCTGTATAAAAGACACTTGTCCACAGAAGCAATCAATCAATCAGATTCCAAACTCTCCACCATGGTCAAGACCAAAGAGCTCTCGAAGGAGGTCAGGGACAAGATTGTAGACCTACACAAGGCTGGAATGGGCTACAAGACCATTGCCAAGCAGCTTGGTGAGAAGGTGACAAGAGTTGATACGATTGGAAGAAACACAAAAGAACTGTCAATCTCCCTCGGCCTGGGGCTCCATACAAGATCTCACCTCGTGGGGTGGCAATGATCATGAGAACGGTGAGGAATCAGCCCAGAACTACACGGGAGGATCTTGTCAATGATCTCAAGGCAGCTGGGACCATAGTCACCAAGAAAACAATTGGTAACACACTACGCCGTGAAGGACTGAAATCCTGCAGCGCCCGCAAGGTCCCCCTGCTCAAGATAGCACATATACATGCCCGTCTGAAGTTTGCCAATGAACATCTGAATGATTCAGAGGACAACTGGGTGAAAGTGTTGTGGTCAGATGAGACCAGAATGGAGCTCTTTGGCATCAACTCAACTCGCCGTGTTTGGAGGCACTTCAGTTTCGTAGGCCTTCAGTGATAGCTCTCTGCCCGTATGTGTAGGGGGATGAGGTGTCCCATCGTGTGTAGGGTGATGAGGTGTCCAATCGTGTGTAGGGGGATGAGGTGTCCCATCGTGTGTAGGGGGATGAGGTGTCATATCGTGTGTAGGGTGATGAGGTGTCCCATACCCTAGGTCGACTCAGACTCAAATGAGTACCTGGTGCGGTGTGTAAACATCGCCACTGGGGAGACAAAGGCGGCCGGGCGTGGTGCTGGCCACCCACCCCCTCGTGTACCGTAGGTGCTCGCTAGCAGCACTTGCCTCTACAGTCTGTTAAGGCTACACGGGGGATCTTTGTCTTTAGAGGTTGTCACATGGTGTGTGTGAGGGTGAGGAGGTTGTCACATGGTGTGTGTGAGGAGGTTGTCACATGGTGTGTGTGAGGAGGTTGTCACATGGTGTGTGTGAGGAGGTTGTCACATGGTATGTGTGAGGAGGTTGTCACATGGTGTGTGTGAGGAGGTTTATACTCTTTGGTTCTATTGGGTAAAGTCACGTAGGTGAAAATAAAATAACAAAAAATCACGACGTTTCGGCCACAACACAAGCGGCCTTCATCAGGTGAAGGGACGAGACTGTCTGGAGGACAGCGCTGGAGTGGGAGAAGCCACGTTTAGATCACGACCTTTAAGCTTGTGATCGCGCTTGTGTTGTGGCCGAAACGTCATGATTTTTTGTTATTTTATTTTGACCTATGTGACTTTACCCAATAGAACCAAAGAGTATGGATCCTAGCAGTCACAAAAGCTTTAAATCTAGAATTGTGAGGAGGCTGTCGCATGGTGTGTGTGAATGTGAGGTTGTCACATGGTGTGTGTGAGGGTGAGGTTGTCACATGGTGTGTGTGAGGAGGTTGTCACATGGTGTGTGTGAGGGTCAGGTTGTCACATGGTGTGTTTGAGGAGGTTGTCGCATGGTGTGTGTGAGGAGGTTGTCACATGGTGTGTGTGAGGGTGAGGTTGTCACATGGTGTGTTTGAGGGGGTTGTCGCATGGTGTGTGTGAGGGTGAGGTTGTCACATGGTGTGTTTGAGGAGGTTGTCACATGGTGTGTGTGAAGAGGTTGTCACATGGTGTGTGTGAGGGTGAGGTTGTAACATGGTGTGTGTGAGGGTGAGGAGGTTGTCACATGGTGTGTGAAGAGGTTGTCCCATGGTGTGTGTGAGGGTGAGGTTGTCACATGGTGTGTGTGAGGGTGAGGAGGTTGTCACATGGTGTGTTTGAGGAGGTTGTCGCATGGTGTGTGTGAGGAGGTTGTCACATGGTGTGTGTGAGGGTGAGGTTGTCACATGGTGTGTTTGAGGAGGTTGTCGCATGGTGTGTGTGAGGGTGAGGTTGTCACATGGTGTGTTTGAGGAGGTTGTCACATGGTGTGTGTGAAGAGGTTGTCACATGGTGTGTGTGAGGGTGAGGTTGTCACATGGTGTGTGTGAGGGTGAGGAGGTTGTCACATGGTGTGTGAAGAGGTTGTCCCATGGTGTGTGTGAGGGTGAGGTTGTCCCATGGTGTGTGTGAGGGTGAGGAGGTTGTCGCATGGTGTGTGTGAGGAGGTTGTCACATAGTGTGTGTGAGAAGGTTGTCACATGGTGTGTGTGAAGAGGTTGTCACATGGTGTGTGTGAGGAGGTTGTCACATGGTGTGTGTGAAGAGGTTGTCCCACGGTGTGTGTGAGGAGGTTGTCACATGGTGTGTGAGGAGGTTGTCACATGGTGTGTGTGAGGAGGTTGTCACATGGTGTGTGTGAGGAGGTTGTCACATGGTGTGTTTGAGGAGGTTGTCGCATGGTATGTGTGAGGAGGTTGTGACATGTTGTGTGAGCAGGTTGTCACATGGTGTGTGTGAGGAGGTTGTCCCACGGTGTGTGTGAGGGTGAGGAGGTTGTCACATGGTGTGTGAAGAGGTTGTCCCATGGTGTGTGTGAGGGTGAGGTTGTCACATGGTGTGTGTGAGGGTGAGGAGGTTGTCGCATGGTGTGTGTGAGGAGGTTGTCACATAGTGTGTGTGAGGAGGTTGTCACATGGTGTGTGTGAAGAGGTTGTCGCATGGTGTGTGTGAGGAGGTTGTCACATGGTGTGTGTGAGGGGGTTGTCACATGGTGTGTGTGAGGGTGAGGAGGTTGCCCCATGGTGTCTATGAAGAGGCTGGGGTGGCTTCCTATCTGCAGGGGGCGCCCACATCTCCCCGTGTTCTGTGAGCGCAGCAGCGTTGTGCGTTGCGCGCGGTTTTGTGGCTGCTGCTGCTGGTTGTGGTGTCGTTGTGTTGTGGGTGGTGGTGGTGGTGGGGTCGTTGTGTCTCTGCGTGCGTCTGTGAATCTCTGCGTGCGCGTCTCGCACGCGGGAGGAAGAGAAGGAAAAGAAACGCGGGGACCACGACCCGGAGCCACTCCCCATCTCCTCCCTCGCCGGGCCGAGCTGAGTGCGTGCGGGACGCGGCCTGCGGACGGGGGCCGCTCGGCCTGCGGTTTGGGGTGTGGGGGGAAGTACGAGGTGGGGGGGGGGGTCGGGGGGGTTGGGGGGTGATTGGGGGGGGGTCGGTGGTCAGGGTCTGACTCGTGCGGGTGACGCTACGGTGGGACGAGGGCTGGTGGGGGTGCGGGACTGGTAAGGTGGAGTGGGGTAGCCGCCTTGGTGGGGGTGGGGGACTCGTGCAGTGCTGAGTGGTGTGTGGTGGGGTGCAGTGCTGAGTGGTGTGGTGGGGTGCAGTGCTGAGTGGTGTGGTGGGGTGCAGTGCTGAGTGGTGTGGTGGGGTGCAGTGCTGAGTGGTGTGTGGTGGGGTGCAGTGCTGAGTGGTGTGTGGTGGGGTGCAGTGCTGAGTGGTGTGTGGTGGGGTGCAGTGCTGAGTGGTGTGTGGTGGGGTGCAGTGCTGAGTGGTGTGGTGGGGTGCAGTGCTGAGTGGTGTGGTGGGGTGCAGTGCTGAGTGGTGGGGTGCAGTGCTGAGTGGTGTGTGGTGGGGTGCAGTGCTGAGTGGTGTGGTGGGGTGCAGTGCTGAGTGGTGGGGTGCAGTGCTGAGTGGTGTGGTGGGGTGCAGTGCTGAGTGGTGGGGTGCAGTGCTGAGTGGTGTGTGGTGGGGTGCAGTGCTGAGTGGTGTGGTGGGCTGCAATGCTGAGTGGTGGGGTGCAGTGCTGAGTAGTGTGGTGGGTGCAGTGCTGAGTAGTGTGTGCTTTAGTTGGGGGGTGTGGAATTTTTTTTATGGTTGTCGACTGGTTTGGGGTGTGTGTGCTGGTGGGGGTGTGTGTGCTGGTGGGAGTGTGTGTGCTGGTCGGGTGTGTGTGCTGGTGGGGGTGTGTGTGCTGGTGGGGGTGTGTGTGCTGGTGGGAGTGTGTGTGCTGGTGGGGGTGTGTGTGCTGGTCGGGGTGTGTGTGCTGGTCGGGTTGTGAGCTGGTAGGGGTGTGGACTGGTCGGGGTGTGGACTGGTCGGGGTGTGGACTGGTCGGGGTGTGAACTAGTTGTGGTGTGTGTGCTGGTCGGGTTGTGAGCTGGTGGGATGTGGGTTGGTGGGGTGTGGACTGTTTGGGGTGTGGACTGGTTGGGGGGTGGACTGTTTGGGGTGTGGACTGGTTGGGGGGTGGATTGGTGGGGTGTAGACTGGTTGAGGTGTGAATTTGGTTGGGGGTGGATTGGTGGGGTGTGGATTGGTGGGGTGTAGACTGGTTGGGGAGTGGACTGGTGAGCAGTATTCGTTCAGAAGATTAATTTAAGTCACTTTCTCAGTGGCCTGTGGAGTATGTATGGTTTGAAGGTTAATACACCCACTTTCATTTATACTGGGATCACGTGATTAATCCCACTCATATACATTGGGGCCACGTGAACAATCCCACTCATTTACACTGGGGTCACGTGAACAAGCCCACTCATTTACACTGGGGTCACGTGAACAGTCCAAATGTCATTTACATTGGGGTCATGTGAACAATCCCGCTCTCAATTACACTGGGGTCATGTGAACAGTCCAATTCTCATTTACATTTGGGTCGCTGCTCATGTGAACCTATGACCTCGGCATGGCAGGGCGAGCCAGGGCATCTCGAGTCACACTCATGGCTGCGCTCGTCATGTCGAGTGCTCAACGAAGTCTCCTTGCCACTTGCCACGCACCGGGAAGTTTGCAGCAACAACTTCCCAGTGGGGTCGGGTTCACCAACGAAATCTGTTTGGAAGTTACTTGTGTGTAGTCTTAAGTCATTGCAATAAGGGCATGCCGCTAAATTATACAACACATGATACTGCTTAATTGACATGTGCTGTAATGACCGACGCCAATGTAGTCCAAAGCCCCGTCGTAACACCGTGTGGTTTTAGTAGTGACGCAAATATATTTGGCAGAGACACTACTGGACATCTCTGGAAAATAACTTGATAGCTCATCGGATTCCTCCATTGTAAATACATATTCTGATTAATGTGAGGGAGAGTAATTCTTATAAATTTGTATTTTGTAAGATTTGGGATAGGGATACAATACAGCTTTGACATGTTGGAATACAATTTTTTCATTTATAAAAATATCTGTTTTGTCTTTCAGGTCAGGGTCACAGGTCAAAAAACCTTTGCCACTTAATCCCCCATACCTGGTTAATTCTAGAGGTGCTGCAAAGTTGATACTGAACCCCCAAAGGCAACTTTTAAGTTGTGTAATGTGCAATATGCTGGTTTCATTACCAGACTGTCGTTGGAAGTTCCTGCTGAGAGCACAGTAATGACAGCAAGCAGAAATGTCCCCACGCTGCAGTCACAGGGCCCATGGTTTATGGGTACCATGGTTGGCGAAATGTTAACTACCTCGCCTGGTATGCAGGAGGTCGTGGGTTGAATCCCAACCCTGACGCCTGTATATCTGTAAATCAACAACATTTACAATTTTAAATGTTGTGGATTTACTCTCCAACACACCGGTGTGCTGTACTATTAATGAATTGGCATGTTCTGTTTACATGACAAACCTTACTAATTGGGTCTGTCGGGTGGCGGCGGGTTTAGCAACACATTTATATTTACGCAATCTAACTAAAAAACACCGGGATCATGGATGATATTGGTTGCAAAAGCCTACTTGTTAAACTTGCTCTGTGGGATTTACCTGATAAAATAAATAAAAAGTTTAGTTTTTTACTACACGACAAGCCGTTTTGCCCCGGCCAGTCTCTTGCATTGACACATTCTCAAGCCCAAAGCAGAGGATGACTTCAGTTGCTTGAGCAGTCGACTTAATACGTCACGGCTTCCATTGACCGTCATTATTGAGACTTGGTGCACACTGCTTCCACTCTTGCATATGATGGCAGCAATGTGTGTTCGGGAGCTAAATGCCCAATGTCCCGCGGACTGCTAGCCGTGATGAGAGGGCTTTAGGAGAGAGTTTTGCAGTTTTTATGGAGCTCAGACTAAAGTGGTTTACAAGTGGTCTAGAATACAAGCTTTATGCGTGCACACGCAACAATTAGGTATGTATGTTGAACGTATGTAGCCAACCCTGCTCATCGGAGATAAATAGCACAAAGCAGCAAATCCAAGTGAATTTCTTAAAGGTCGTGTTGTGGCTGATGGCATGTGTAAAAACACTTGTATTGTTTGTGTGGAGGGAAAGATGCACGTGAATGAGGCGAAAGGTCTGCATATTTATTGTTACCAATATTCACACGTATGTTGAGCTTCTTTTGCACCATATGTAGCCAAATGCGCTAACCGTAGGTGTGGGACAAGGTCAACAAACTAAATACGAAAAGCAGTTCACCCATAACGAAGTGAGAAAATATTTTGCGAAGTACCAACGGTGCACGTTCGAACCAGATAAACTGTGAACCATAATAGCACGCCACGCATGCCAACGCTCGCCTCTATCCGCAGCTGAACCGATGGCCTCCGCGCTGGCCGTGGACTCGAGCGTGGACTTCTCGGCGTGGCTGAAGGCGCAGGGCGTGAACGCCGAGGTGGCCCGGGCCATGGACTCTGAGCTCGGCATCCGCGACTACGGAGTCCTGCGCGCCTGCGTGGGCGACGGCCACGTTCGCGCCGAGCTCCTGGCCGCGGCACGCGACCGCCTGCCCTTCGGCTTTTACGCCGTGCTGCGCCAGGTCGTGCGCTCGCTGCACCTGGCGGAGGCCGAGAGGCCACGATCGGACACGGCCGCCCTGCGGGACGCGGCGCTGGGCGGCCTCCTGGACGTACTGGTGGTGCTGTTCAGCGGCCTCAGCCGTGAGCTGTTGCTTTCTGTGCAGAAGCTGGGGGAGATGGACGTCGAGGGATTTGCCGACACGGTGCCCAGCACGGCCAGGACCGTCAGCCTGGAGGACAAGACTACGGAGTACGACCGCCTCTCCACAAATATGAACGAATATTCAAGCCATGGTGAGGCCTAGCGAATCGTGTCAAACGGTTCCGCGTTATGTACGTACGTACATATGTTGAACTTCTTTGGAGCCGTAAGTAGCCCACCGTGCTGATCGGAGGTGAGTGTTATTTTTGTTCACGTGTTATTTCTTTTATTTCTCAAACGAAGCAGTTTCATCGTTTTAACTTGAAGATTGCAGTGCGAACCAAAGTGTGGTTCTTTCATCATCGTCGTCATCACTCCTGGATGAAGGCCCTCCGACACCTTCGCCATCTCGCATGATCCCGCGATGCCACCCCCTATCTCGCTTCGGCACATCAGCTGATCTCAATGCTTTATTCCCTCGGTGGTCTTGAGCAAGTGATGGAAATTACATATTTATATGGCAGAGTCCAGTTTTTCCATGAGACAACCACCGTCAGCGTCCACAATGTGGTGCTGATGTTATTCAGTTGGGGTAGGTGAAGGGCTGAAATTTCCTGTGGCTGGGATTTGGACTGAACGTTGAGAGTTCAGGCCCTGTAACCTCAGTGTCACCTGGCCAAGTGCGTTTTATTGGGTTACCGAGTACGCAGTCACTGCACGTTGCATGCTCTTTCAGATGTTTAGGTAACTGGAGAGCCCATTAATGCTACGTGACATGGTTTCAATGATGCTTCTCATGGTAGTAATGATAATAATGATGATGGTGATGGTAACGAGTTGTGTTTGATAGAGGCCGGCCTCCTTTACGCCGCAGCCTCTCAGCGCTTTACAGCAGATGGGCCGCTTCTCAAAACTCATTCTGACCCATTATAAAGGGCACACCACCCCCCCGCTGGCAGCTGTTCCTGTGCGACACAGGGTAGCGCAGCACCGAGCCTGCAAGCGGGCGTTGGTCTCCCACCAGGAGGGGTCAGTGATTGCTCTACGTAATCTCAATTGAGTCATTTGCCGTCGTAATTAATTTTCTTTATCGCAAATTTGGACTCTGCTGCTGCCAGAACACGATGGCCTAACCCCGTGAATGCGATCTGTAACGTCCACTGTGAGCGAAGCCGACGGCGCGTTGTAGTTTTAGTATGTTCACAGTTAATACGCACCGCGGTATATATCGGGGAGGCCGCTGGATTAAAACAGTAAACCTCCGCGACGTGCGCCAAATGTGCTGCCGCTGGGCTGCGTCGCCACTCTCGTAATTGATGAGGCTGTTCACCGCTTTGACTCGTGGATTGGCGTTTGGCTGTTGGTAATGTCATTGGCCATAGATCGGTCTCGGTCTGCAGAGGATCTGGTTTGTGGATGATAGATTGGCAGTTGATGGGAGTCTGAATTGTATTTCACCGTCGAGCGGAACGGTGCTTCCTAAGCAGCCAAGTCGGAATGAAACTCTTGACTGCAGGGCGAATGATTTTGCCAGTGGTCAAACGATAAATGGCCCACCGATGCGTATTCACAAATTATATCACAGTGATGATGATGACGATGATGCTCGTCAAACCGATCCGTGTAACCGAAATACAACGGATAATATTTTCGCACCTGTGATAATGTTTGGCGGTCAGCTTTTGGGGGAAAATGTGCTGAGTCTGACATTCTCCCTCTCTGTCATTATCCAGTGGGGGAGCGGCGACAGTGGTGTAATGGGTTGCAAACACCACCCGCCACCCCCACCCACCCCTCAATTGCAGGAATGCACCTTTACCGTTGTTGACCTTTAACCCATAACTTGCAAAAAGTGGTGGTTTACCTTGAGACATCTCGTGTTTATGGAAACTCATTTCTTTTAAAATTGCTCTGTGTTTAGTTTGTTGTCCCCCCCGCCCCCGCAGATCTGATCAGCGCGGTTGAAGCTTAACTTGTGAAAAATAGACTTTAACATCATTACCCATAATGCGAACTCCAGTTATCCTCACGGCGGCTTTTAGCTGGCCATTGAACAAAGACGGTCACTACATCGTGCACTTGCAGATGCGTTTCTGCGGCCGTCTGGAATGCTTTTCCTTCCAATATTAGGAAGCCACTGGAGCTATTCACTTTTAAATCTATATTGAAAACTCATTTCTTTCGAACTGCTTTTTGTGTTTAGTTTATTGTCCTTCACAACAATCTCTAGCGTTTGGCTAGAGATGGTTGTGCGAAAGAAGTTCAACATATGTACATCAGGGTTGTGTTCAACTCCCAGCGCTCCTTCGTATGCTGAATGCGTTATAAGTTTGTGAGCTGGTTGATGGCGCTCGGCTGACCCTCGGCAGCTCGGGCAGTGGTCCACGACCCATGCCCATGACAACCCTACCCATGGGAGTGCCCCCATGAGTCTCGAGTGCCGCACTGCCATGCGGCCTGTCGGCTCTCTGCCCCGCCACTGCTCTCCTCCACGCGTCTCTCCTGTGCCTCGTTCGGGGAGTGTTTCCTGTTCCTGCTATCTCGCTCCCTCCCCCACATTCCTCCTCAGCCACTTTCCTGTGTGTGTGCATGTGCACGGGTGTGCGTGCTGCTGTCCGTGGGGAGCGGTGTAGTGCAGTTGTTACCCGCGCTGCGCTACAAACCCTGCCCACCCGAGTTCGATTCCCGCTTGCGGCCAACACTGGTGATGATTATCTGAGCCGGTCCTGGGCCTCTCCTTGGTCGACTCAGCCTCAACTGAGTACCTGATGCGATTTGTAAATATCGCCACTTGAGAGACAAAGGCAGTTGGGTATGGTGCTGGCCACCCACCCCCAAGTGTGCTGTGCTGGCCTTCGTAGGTGTTTGCTAACAGCACTTGTCCCAAGAGTTTTTTAACGCTATACGGGGGATCTTTGTTTTTGCTGCTCTCCACATTTCATTCCCCCACACGTGTGTCTATTGTGTGTGCCACTGTCTTTCCATATCCTTGTGTTTTCTCTGTGTGTCTCTGCTCCATGCTGGGTGCTCCATGCTGGGTACTCCATGCTGTGTTGTCAAGTGCAGTGGTGTACAATGTCTTGTGTTCTCCGTTATGTATTGTGTGCGTATCACATGTTACGTGGTGCGTTTGTCTCTTGTGCCCCCCTGTTACATGCACTGTGTGTGTGTATCGTGCACTCGTGTGTGTGTCGTGCACACTGTGTGTGTGTGTTGTGCATTCTGTGTGTGTGTTGTGCACTCTTTCTTGCCGAGTAGCTGCTGCCGACAATGTTCAGTGCTTGGCGTCACGCACCAGCTGCGGCCGTTGCTTCTGTTGCGCGCCTCCGCTGCCGGCTGCCATGAACGAAACTTGCTGCTGAAGCTCCTGTTGCTACTTGCGACGTTCCTGCAAGGCTGCCGTCTTAGTGCAGCCTCCGTCTGCTTGATCGCTCATTGCACCTCCCCTCGGCCGACTAAGCTGCTTGTCTGTGCCCCCGACACCCCTGCTGCTGCCTTGCCTAAGCTACTTTGCCCTCGTGTGGCCCTGCCCTCTTCACCCCAACATCACAGGCCTGGCCCATCATCCCTTGGCTCTTCGCCACAATCTGGCTCCTCGCCACAACCTTTCCCCGACCTCGCCCGCAGCTCAACTGCTCGCCGGCACGAGTAGAAATTGCTGTCATGACGCTGTCAAGAATCCAGGGGGCTCGTTGTGTTTTGGCACTGGCCACATTTACATGATGAAAGGGAGCTGCCACAGAGGTGTAACGGTTAGCACCACACCGGACCTTGCATCCAGAGGTCACCGGTTCAATCCACCTCACGGTGTGGCAGTTGAAACAATGGTGGTGATTTATAAAAATCCTCCCCCCTGTCCCTATCCACCCAGCAGTGTAAATTGGTTCCCCGCCACAGCTGATGCGTAGGTTGCATGTGGTAGAGTAAAGTGGGGGGGTACGCCTACTGCTTCAGAGATGTCCGGTAAACACAACAGGGGAGGCCAAAATCCCTTGGACGGAGGCTCTGTAGAGCTCCCTCGAGTCGAGGGAGCAGGGCAGCGCCTACACCGTTGATAGAGTGTCGTGCAGTTACCTGTCAACACAGAATTCCTTTTATCCGCAGCTCTATTGCTGTTAGTTCGCCGCGGTGGAGATAAGTTAACTACCTCGCCAGGTATACAGGAGGTCGTGGGTTCAATCTACCCTGATGATACCTGTTGTATATTTGGAGTTTGCATGTTCTCCCTGTGATCGCGAAGATGTTTCTCCGGGTCCTCCAGTTTCTGAGCACGCGTTTAAAGAATTTGGATGCTATACATTTCCACATGATAAGCCACTTCGTTGAGCTATCATTTGTGGCCAGGGCACTTCTAAAAAGAGCTCTGTAGCTCAGTGGGCCTTACCCGGTCAAATGAAAGTTGAGTTGAGTATTATCCGCAGTTATCAAGAGTTTTACCCATAATACACAGCAAAGTGGTTGCCTAATACTCACGATTTTTCATAGTCTCATGGCGGATTCATAATATTATACGCATGGGTTGTCCGCAATTCCCAAACAATGGTCGTGACCACAGCAAGTAAATAGGCGGCACTTGCTATGATCACGGGACATCACAGACACGAACAGACAAGGTGGCACAGAGAGACACAGACGCGAATACATTCACAGAGATATCGAGACACAGAGCCACACATGGAGACACAGACAAACAAAGAGAGACACACATATACAGTAAAACCTTGGATTGCGAGTAACTTGGTCTGCCAGTGTTTTGCAAGACGAGCAAATTTTTAAAATACATTTTAACTTGATAAACGAGCGAGGTCTTGCAATACGAGTAGTAAGTATACGCTTTGTCTGCCGAGCGTCACGTGATCACAACTGAGCCGATGGTTCGTCTCTGTCTATCGCTGCGGGATTGTGGGTAATCGTTTCCCATGCTGTTTACTATAGTGTTGTGACCACGTGTGTGTGCGTAAAGCATTTTTTTTATTTTGTGTCCAAGTGTAGTGACTGTTCTTTAGTAACTGTACTGCAACAATGGCCCCCATGAAATCCTCAAAAGGAGGCAAAAGCAAGTGTTATTAGATGGGTTCCTTGTTAAAGTCGCACAAAAAGAAAAATATTCCAGTGAGCCAACAGATAGCAGTGATTCCGTCAGTGACAGTGAAAGTCGTCCTACACAATAACCCTCCTCCTCTCTCTCGTCTCCCTCACATCAGCCACGATTAAATGTAATTAATAAATTGTATTACTTTATATTAAATTTAAATAATAAAAATATAAAAAGGTATTTTGTATTAATCATTTTTACATGAATATTTTTGGGTTGTGGAACGAATAATCTGAGTTTCCATTATTTCTTATGAGGAAATTCGCTTTGATATATGAGTGCTTTGGATTACAAACGCGTTTCCGGGACGAATTATGCTCGCAGTCCAAGGTTTTAATGTATACGTTATCGATCTCCCATATATTTCCGCGGATAAGAGGAGTTTTCGTGTAAGTGCCACTGGAACAAGAGAGCGAGCCACCGTGTAACCGACTGAGATGTTCTTCCCTGCTGCTCGGCTGAAGGGACCGTGTGTGGTGGTAACGCTCGCTCCTTCTTGACCACAGTAGAAGACTCGGGTTCAGCAAACGAAGGCACAGGGAGCGACCGGCCGGGCTGGGAAGAGATGGGCGCTCCAGCGTTCTGCGCCGAGGAACAAGGTACGTGGAGCACAACACAGTGGTGACCAAAGTGGTGAACGGGGAGGTGGTGAAGGAGGTGTTGAAGGAGGCGGTGGTGAACGAGATTGTGAAGGAGGCATTGTAATAGGTGGTGAAGGAGGCAGTGAATGAGATTGTTAAGGAGGCGGTGGTGAACGAGTAGGTGGTGAAGGAGGTCGTGAAGGCAGCGGTCAATGAGGGTGGTTGATCAACAAGAGAAATAACGGCCATGGCCACTCTGCGTTGGGCAGTCCTGGTGCTGTGAGAGGGCTTTGTGAGGACTACGCGGAAGGCGACGCTGCAATTCACACACACAAGGCTGTGGTCTCAGTCACGGCGCAGCTCTGACATGGCCTTCAACATGGCTCAGCTCAGGCTTGAGCAGCCACTCGGTTGCTTCCACGAGCGGCTCAGCTATGGCCTGGCTCAGGCTCATGGAAATCCTGACCGTAGCTCTGATACCGTGCTCATGGAGCTGGCTCAAGTTTAGCGCATGATGGCTTTGAGCCGGCTCACTTGAGTCAGAGCCGAGCCTGAGCTGAGCCGTGACTAAGAATGGTGGCCCGAATCTCTCTGCTGCTGTTGAGCAGACTAGGGGGGGGGAGATGGGGGGGTTGGGGCAGGCGGCAGCCACGGAGCTGCTGCTGGGAGGGCGACTAGCAGTGAGGAGCTCCCTGTGTGCAACAGCAGGAGCATTGCAGCCGTCGATGCAGCACGAGCGCACGAAGTAGAGCACGGGGGCACACCTAAGTGGAGTAAGGCAATGGGGATGACGCGTTTCTTAGATTGACCAAGGTTATTGCAAGGGCTGAGGAAAAGAGACAGATGGGAGACCGAAACAGGAGGATTTCTCCACAACTCTGGCTGTTGCCTGATGAGGCTGGTTGTAATTATTGGCGAAACGTCATGGTTCTTGAATTGTAAATGTGGGTTTACTCTCCAACACACCGGTGTGCTTAACTAGTAACGAATTTTGATTTAAGGCTTTCGTGACTGCAGTAATTCATATTAATTCATATTCATATATATAGTAACGAATTGGCACGTTTTGTCTATATCGGGTGGTCGCAGGTTTAACGACACATTTATATTTATGCAATCTAACCCAAAAAAAATACCTTTTATGGATAATATTGGTCGTGAAAACTTACTACGTGTTAAACGGATGGGAGGGAGTTGATACGTTCCTAGACCGTGCATCTCAAGCTGTTCAATTGTGCATAAACAAATAATGACTGTGATATTATACCGCTGTCGTGACATCACTACACACACGGAACGATGTCGCATTGAAATCACTGAAGGCCGTTATCGGGAACTTCACCGTAACTGTGAAGGCCTCTCCTCGTGAAGCCTGTATCTCTTGCTCGGTCAGTCCGGGCCACGGCCTATGCGCAGGCTGATGTACGAGAGCCATTTATCCTCCTCTTGGTGGTTCACGTTTTCCTCCAATCCTCAGTCTTCATAACACTCCTGCATGTGACACGGCCCAGTTGCAGTGTGCTTGTCGCTTAGTGCAGAGGTCCACCCTTCAAACCCAGCGGCCACCCCGATTGATACTGCGGCTGCATGCACTGTACATATACCGAGCACTATCTGTTTCACAGTGGACTTTACAGATCCCGTGATATGTCATTCCCGTGATGTCATGTGCTGGTGTGAAGGTTCAAATTTGCCACGTTCAAAAATTAACCTGCAATTTACTCAATTGGGATTTATACACAGCAGTAATCATTGCTCCTCTATTGGGAGACCTAATATTAGATCGTAGGCCAGTTACGGAGTCACCCTGTCCCCACAGACAGCTGCCGTTGGGGGTGGCCCCCGTTTCTAATGTGTTGGAGATGAGGTGTTACGCAAGGTGCTTTGACATACTCAAAAACGAATTGCGATCGCTCTAAAGATCAGATGTTCATACCATATTGACGATGCCCAATGAGGTAAGCGTGGCATACAACGTGAAGTATTATGGCTTATCTGTTTAAACATATTACTTTTCATTGGGCATAAGTTGCATGTGGTTTTCAGCAGCGGTGGAAGTGCTGCTTATGATTCCTGTCCGTCCCGCAGCTGCCCATGCTCACTGCCACTTCCTCTTTGCGGAGACAGTAAAGCGTAGGAGTAGGATTGTGAATAGTGCCGTTAGTAGGCGTGTCTGGCGTTCTCAGGAGTACCAACGTGGCGTCCTCGCATCTGGCGGCACATGTATACACACTTGTTAATTGGCTAAACACATCTTGATATATATAGAGGGCTGCAGAGCTTGGGCATCTATTGCTAGGAACCGACTCACTGCCTGCTTGCTGCTGCCTTCCTGCTCGCGTTCTGTGGTCCCCGGCAATTGTGAGAGATGCAAATTTGCATGAACGACGACACTGCAATATATGAAACTAAACTTTAGTATTATTATTACTTTATTTCGTCCCCTGACCTTAGGCCATTGACACTTTTGCGCTTATTTTCCTGTTTTTTCCCATGATTGGCATGGAGTGATCGCCAAGTGTCTTTGCCATAGGTTCTTCGTGTGATTTGATTTTCGCGATTCTGGGCTTGTTGACAGTCGTCCATTTCGGAAGAGAATATACTGCGGAGCGAACTTCATTTGAACGGGTTTGAAACATCTGCAAGTTGCAGGGTGGGAGTCCCGTTTATGGCTGAATCTCGGAACGTGCAAGCGGCTCAGCATTAATTTTATTTAGAGAGGCGTAGCGCCGTTGTTTTTAAAGACATAATAACCACAGAGAACCGTAGCGCACGACACTGCGCTCTACGATAGCTGCTGCCAAACTGTGCCACACACCCTCCGCATGGCCTTGTGGGAGCCCTGCTACCGATAAGGTTATTTTATATTCTTAGCTCTTTCGGTAAAGTCACGTTGAAGGGAAACAATAAAATAAAAAAATGTATATTTTATTGTTTTCCTTCAACGTATTGTATTGTTTCCCTTCAAGGTGACTTTACCGAAAGAGCTAAGAATGTGAATTACTGCAGTCACGAAAGCTTTAAATCAAAATTTAAGGTTATTTTATTTCAGTTTTTCTTCCGATTCTGTTCCGATGACGTACACGTACGTATGCGTACGTCATCGGAAAGGGTTCAATTGTAATACGCGGTGAACCGGTAATGACCTCCTCGACGCTAACTTTGTCTTGTGGTAACGTGTGCGTGGAAACGCACGGCCGTCCGTCCCTGCAGCACGCGAAGACACCTTCGTCAAGCAGGAGGGCAACGAGGCCGCGAGGGACATGTGGCAAGACGTCGGAGAGAATCACGGCAAGGATTGCGCAGGTGAGATCATTTATTTGCTTTTCATATTTTTTATTTAAATTGTTTTACAGCAACATGCGAGCCCCCGGCAAAAAACACCGAAAGTTCCAACAACAGGGAACAGAGAGAGCCGGTAGACATCTGTTCCGGCACGGTGGAATTACGTGACGGGGGAGGAACGAAGCGGGGTTAGGGCCCCGCCATTGCTGCCCCAAGCAAGTGGGGACCCTCGCACGAGGGGAAAGATGAAGCTTTAGATAGGGAAAGGCAGGAGGCGAAGAGTAAGTGGCATACTAAGGAAAAGCCAGGGATGAGGGAGGGCAAGAGGGGAAAAGCAGGGGAAGACGGGGAGAAATGGCCGATGTTTTTTTTATTTTAGGGGATAGTGGCCAAGTCGCCAGGGGAAATGGTTGCTGTGTCGGATCGCCAAGCGAGGACAGCTGAGGCTGAGTGGGATCGAACCGTTGGTGTCGGCCCAGCCGCAGGGGATGTCACGTCTCTCGCACGCTGACGATCATGCGTGCTCGCTATGGATGCTATCGTTCTCATTAGCGCAGGGCAGTCGTGACGAAATAAGGCGCCCTGTGTCTCACACAGTTCTGCTGTAGTTTCACCATAGGGGGGCGATGTTGCCGCGTGTAATCCCAATTTATATCCGCTGTAATTTTTGTCATTTGTACGTATGCACGTTGAACTTTTTTCGCACCGTACATAGCCAACCGTGCTCATCGGAGGTGCGGAAATTTCGACCATGACGCTGGCGGCGCGCAATGGCTGACTCACTTTGAATAATATCACGGAGATCTTTAGCATCCACTGTGGGTGAAGCGGATGGCGCGTGGTATTTTACTTGTGACGTACACCCAACAATAACCGGGGCGGCTTGCCAGATTTGCAATAACCGGGGTGGCCTCCACATTTAGAAACATGCGTCTAGAGTATCTGGCTGTTATACATTTCCACGTGATAAGCCACTTCTTTGAGCTGTTATTTGTGGCCAGGTCACTTCTGAAAAAGTGAAAATAGCTTAGTGGGGCCTTACCTGGTAAAAAAGATAAAAGAAATAACAATAAGAATACAAAATAAGAATTTGAGAGGCCCAGGACCGGTTTAGATAATTATCACTGATTTTGGCTGTGAGCGGGAGTCAAACTCAGATCGCCGGGTTTGTAGCACAGCACACTAACCGCTCCACCACACGCTCATGTCGCTCGAACGCACACACCGAGAATCTTCATGGACACACATCCCCCCGTGTTCTGTGTTGCAGCGGAGGCCTCGGAGAGGCCGCACACGTGCGAAGTGTGCGGCAAGGGGTTTGTGTGCATCTCCTACCTGAAGCGGCATCAGATGACGCACACGGGCGAGAGGCCGCACGTGTGTGACGACTGCGGCAAGGGTTTCTCACAGATCTCGCATCTCAAGAGGCACCAGAGGACTCACACGGGGGAAAAGCCCTACCTCTGCAAGGAGTGCGGCAAGGGTTTCTCACGGAGGCACAATCTGAACAAGCATCAGCAGGCGCACGTCGGCCACTGCCCGTACGTGTGCTAGGAGGGGGGGGGCGGGGGCGGGGGGGCGCAAGGCGGCAGAGTTCATCGGCGCGGAGAGAGAGAGATGAATTCCGCATCGCGCGATCCAAGCGTCCGGTACGGATCGTTGCGCGAGCGTGGAAAAAACACGTTCTCTGATGGCTTTTACTCAACGGAAGGGCTGCGAAAGAAAACACAATGGAACTGGCAAACTCACAAAGTGCTGTTAATGTACACGCCACGGGGAAGCCCGGGGGAGAGACGTGATGGGCCATGGCACCTCCGGAACCCGTGACCTCACAGATGGCTTCATTTCTCACTTGTACATCGCGGTTTAATATTAAATACTTTTAACATTTTTTTTTTCTAATGCAATTTTTCATTACATTGTCGCCATCCACCGGTCTTATTATATTTTGTCAAATCCCACAGGGGCATGGAATGTGTGCAGAGAAGGCTTTTTGGGGGCAGGTGCAGGGTTGGCGAGTTGCCACCAATCGGTGGGAATATTAAAAGTGTGAGGGAGCACAAGTTTCAGTTTCTCCCTTGCCTCTGTCTCTCCTACGCTCCGGGTCGCATAATGGCACCGAATTAAGCCCTCAGATGCTGCCAATGAGGCCTGGAGCTTAAACACCTTGACCCCCATGTCAGGTATTTTGCCTGCGTCGGCGGAGCCCTGTGGCCTGGCGCAGCTGCGAGGCACGGTCGGATCCCACACTCGCTGGCGGATCGCCAGATTCTGCCACGGCTGCGTCACCGGGGCCAACAGGTGAGCACGAGGCCGCCACCAGTGATGTCGAGACAGGCGGCAAGCGCAGAGCACAGCAGTGGGTCGTGAGCGCTCAGCTGGGAGAAGCTCCTTTCTGACCTATCCGAGGGCGGCAGCGCTCACCCTTCCGGGGCAGCTCCGCCGCGCGCCGGCACGAGGTGAGACATCATGCGGTGGCGTGCGGTGCGTGTGCTTGATGGACTCGGGGCACGGGCAGACGTTTGCCGCCCGCACGAGGCTACCGCGCGCATACCCACGTTGCACGCGCGACACAGTGTCCAGAAGTAAACCAGAGGTACGCGGTGGAGGAGGACCCAGAGAATAGTCCACGCGACAACGGGGAGAACATGCAAACTACAAATATACAGGTGTCAGGGTTGGGATGGAACCCACGACCTCCTGTATACCGGGCGAGGTAGTTAACATCTCGCCACCACAGCTGTACCGCCAGGAGCGCTCCCACCACTGTCAACTGGAGTCATTCATTTTGCGTCGTGTCCTTTCATAAATTAGAGTTACCAATGATAAGGTGTAACATTTGGGCATTAAGAACCATTCCCTTGTGTCACTGATGGCATGTACAGTGAGGGAAAAAAGTATTTGATCCCCTGCTGATTTTGTACGTTTGCCCACTGACAAAGAAATTATCAGTCTATAATTTTAATGGTAGGTTTATTTGAACAGTGAGAGACAGAATAACGACAACAAAAATCCAGAAAAACGCATGTCAAAAATGTTATAAATTGATTTTCATTTTAATGAGGGAAATAAGTATTTGACCCCTCTGCAAAACATGACTTAGTACTTGGTGGCAAAACCCTTGTAGGCAATCACTTACTTAGTCATGAGGGCTGGTATCCAGCCACGCTCGCTGTTACCCGGCCATGCGCACTGTTACCCAACCAATTGTGCTGTTACCCAGCCACGCACACTGTTACTTAGCCATGAGCGCTGGTACTCAGCCACGCGCGCTCTTCTCCAGCCATGCGCACTGTTCCCCAACAACGTGTGCTCTTCCCCAGCAACGAGCGATGTTACTCAGCCACGCGCGCTGTTCCCCAGCCACGCGCCATTACCCAGCCACACGCGCTATTCCCCAGCCAAGCACGCTGTACTCCAGCCAGGTGGGCTGGTCACCAGCCATGTGCTGTTCCCCAGCCACACGTACTGTTCTCCAGCCATGTGATGTTACCCAACCACGCACACTATTCACGAGCAAGACGCGCTATTCCTCAGCTATGCGCTGTTAACCAGTCACGAGCGCTGTTCCCCAGCCATACACAGTGTTCCCCAGCCACAATCGCTGTTATCCAGCAATGCACGCTGCTACCCAGCCAGGCGTGCTGTTCTCCAGCCAGGCGTGCTATTCCCCAGCCATGCGCTGTTACCCAGCCACACTTGCTGTTCCCCAGCCACGTGCTGTTACGCTGCCACGCACGTTGTTCCCCAGCCAGGCGCGCTGTTTCCCAGCCAGGCGCACTATTCCCCAGCCATGCGGACTTTTCTTCAGCTACGCACACTGTTCCCCAGCCATGCACACTGTTACCCGGCAAAGCACGCTGTTCCCCAGCCACGTGCGCTATTATCCATCCATGCATGCTGTTACCCAGCCATGCACGCTGTTCTCCAGCCACGTGCAATGTTCAACAGCCATGTGCTTTTCCCCAGCCATGCACGCTGTTAGCCAGCCAAGAGCGCTTTAACTTAGCCAAGAGCGCTTTAACTTAGCCAAGAGCGCTGTTATCCAGCAATGCACGCTGTTATCCAGCAATGCACGCTGTTATCCAGCCAGGAGCGCTGTTACCCAGGCAGGTGCGTTGCTCTCCAGCCACGTGCTTTTACCCAGCCATGCACGCTGTGATTTAGCAATGAGCGCTTTTACTCTGTAACACGCGATGTTCCCCAGCTAAGCACGCTGTTCCCCAGCCTAGTGCACTGTTTTCCAGCAAGGTGGGTTGTTCAACAGCCATGTGCTGTTCCCCAGCCACACGAACTGTTCCCCAGCCATACTCTTTGGTTCTATTCGGTAAAGTCACGTAGGTAAAGTCACGTAGGTGACTTTACCGAATAGAACCAAAGAGTATGGATCCTTGCAGTCACGAAAGCTTTAAATCTAGAATTAAATTTTTCTGGATTTTTGTTATCGTTATTCTGTCTCTCACTGTTCAAATAAACCTACCATTAAAATTATAGACTGATAATTTCTTTGTGAGTGGGCAAACGTACAAAATCAGCAGGGGATCAAATACTTTTTTTCCTCACTGTAGCAAGGATGAGCATGCACAATTTTCTGCCTGCAGTCCACTTCTCAATTCACATACTCTCTCAAGTATGATAAGAGGTTTCCTAAATTTGGCACCATAAAACAATGTAACTCCCTCACGAAATTCCCTTAAATAAATTTGGAAGCAGTTCAGCACATACAGAAATGTGGCCCTACACTGCAATCCCAGCCTTCCGTGTGAGAGTAGATCAACACCGTCATCTCCCCTCCCATGACTCCACTCCCAAGCTCTCCATACATTACATTCTGGTGTGGATGATTTCTGTTGTTGTGTACGGTGGGTGGCCGGTACCACACCCCGCCTTTGTCTCGCGATTTCTCGACACACCATGCCTCCGATTAGCGCGGTTGGCTACGTACGGTGCGTAAGAATTGCAACATACATACCTATACTCTAGGCCTTGTCCTCTGTTAAACAGTGAGTGAGGAGTTCTGGGTAGAGGGTGCGTGCAGTCAGGTGGCAGGGGGCGGCCTTGTCTGCACACATTCTGTGGCTCTGCGGGACTTGCCAATATGCATATAATAATACTGCTGGGTAGTGGCAATGACTGGAAAAATATGTTTTTACCAAGGTACAAAACCAGATTTTACTGGTTTGTTATGATACTGTTTTTGTGTATAGGCTGTATTATCTCAGTATCTCAAATGTAGCAGCAGGGATCTCAAGCCACCCACCCACAGGCGTCTCTGCACCCGTGCTCATATCGTCCAGTGAGGCGTGGGCCTGTGCAAACACAACATTGCTTGTTTTACTGCCGTGGATTTGAAGGCGCCCTTCTCTCGTGGTGAAAACGAATCTTGCTCCCAGGCACGTAAGCTCTTTGTCGGGGCCCGCAGTTCATTCTAAGGCAGCTCGGATGCACCCATAATGTAAGCCACATGAACTTTTAATTCCTACCTCGCAGTTTTTGAGAGACAGAGAAAGGAATGCAATGTGGGCCATCTAACCATGAGTTTCTACTTTTTCCACTGTACACCAAACCAGGATATATCGGTCAGCACTTAGGTCAGTTGAGGTGGTATGGACACCTGGTAAGGATGCCCCCCGAGAGATTCCCCCTTGGAACTCCACCGGGCACATCCCACTGGGCGAAGACTCTGGGGCCGGCCCAGGACACACTGGCGGGACTATGTCGCTCGGCTGGCCTGGGAATTCCCCAGAAAGAGCTAGGGTCTGTCGCCAGGGAAAGGGAGATCTGGACCGCCCTACTCGACATGCTGCCGTCACGACCCTCACTAGGACAACCGGATTGAGAAACGAATGAACGAACACTTCGGTCTATTATCAAAACTGTGCAGTTTATTGCAATAAAGGTCAGCACAATACCATTACCAGATCTCGGTTACGAATCAATTCCTGCCACCCGAACACAGGTTTAGATTCCCGTATTCTGTGGGTCAAACCCGGGCAGATAGCGGAGCCTATCCACAATGCGAGCAGATTTGGGCGTTGATAAGTAGCCGAAGAGCGTACGCTTGTGTGGCTTTGTGCCGCGTCGTTGGTAATGGAGACACTTGAGCACAAGACGCCAAACCCAATTGAAATTGACAGTCGCCAGCATGAGAAGCGGCTCATAGCCACGTCACAGGTATCCCTCGATCTACGAACGTTTGGCTCTTTTGAAATTTCGCGTGAACGCAATTGACAAATCGTGGACACTTTCGATTCACTCAAGCGGATATTTCTGCTTTAACGAAATTTCACTATGGCCACGCGCCATGAGGTCATCAAACAAGAAGTCACCCAGGGAGGCTGCATCATCATAACAGAGCAACCATAACCCCTCCACATTGCCTCGCCAGTCATTCCAATTTTGAGCAGTTCCTTTGCTGATTTCCCTGAAAAAGGTGAATTTTTTTTTTCAATTAATCATTCAATCGTTTTAATATTTATGTTCTTTATTATTCATAATAAAGGTTTTTTTTAATTGGGTTAGATCGCGTAAATATAAATGTGTCGTTAAACCCGCCACCACCCAACACAGCGAATTAGTTCGATTTGTCATATAAACAAAATGTAAAGCCACAACATTTACGGCAGTTGTAAATGTTGTAGTGGGTTTACTCTCCAAAACACCGGTTAGTGCTGAACGAGTAACTAATCGGCACTAATTGGCTGTGTCGTGTGGTGGTGGGTGTAACGAAATTTATATTTACGTGATCTAACCCAAAATAAAACCCCTCTATTGTGGATAATATTGGTCGCGAAAGCTTTCCACGTGTTAAACTTCCTCTTTATTATTATTTGTATTGTGAAAAGTGATATAGATGTGTATTGTTTAAGGCTAGGACTACAGTCGTCCAAAACACATCGCTAATTATTAGGATTAATTAATGGGAATTGCCATTCAGATTTAGGAAAACTTGCTTT